GTAGACTGATATTATCTTTGGTGCTGTAGCCATGTAATATAACAATATGTTGTGACATATTAGGAGTAGACTGATATTATCTTTGGTGCTGCAGCCATGAAATATAACAATATGTTGTGACATAGTAGGACTAGACTGATATTACCTTTGGTGCTGTAGCCATGTACTATAACAATATGTTGTGACATATTAGGAGTAGACTGATATTATCTTTGGTGCTGCAGCCATGAAATATAACAATATGTTGTGACATAATAGGACTAGACTGATATTATCTTTGGTGCTGTAGCCATGTAATATAACATTATGTTGTGACGTAGTAGGAGTAGACTGATAATTTTAGTTATAGAAGTAAAACTTTTAGATTTAGTTGTACGTGTTTCCGAATTTGCCCCTGAAGAAGAAAGGTCCAGCTTTCAAAATTACTCGGGTTATGGGTTTTTTATTCATTTCTATCAAGACTTCTTGAACCTACATGTTTTTCTAACATCATGAATTATCTTTGGTGTTGTAGTCATAGAACATAACAATATATTGTGACATAGTAGAATTAGACTGATATTATCTTTGATAGTGTAACCATGGAAATATAACAATATATTGTGACATAGTAGAATTATACTGATATTATCTTTGATGATGTAACCATGAAAATATTACAATATATTGTGACATATTAGGATTAGACTGATATTACCTTTGGTGCTGTAGCCATGTAATATAACATTATGTTGTGACATAATAGGATTAGACTGATAATTTTAGTTTTAGAAGTAAACTTTTAGATTTAGTTGTACAGGTATAACTGTAATTATAGAACTACAGCAGATTACTTTTTTTTTGTAGAAGTATAGCTTTGAACTTTAATTGTAGATGTATGGGTAATAATTTTAATAGTATCACTGTTTTAGAATCTTAAAGAACAACACTGGTTGTATTGCAGTGACCCAGGTCTTTAAATGTGTTTACGTTATAAATGAAAAGAACAAACGTTGGTTGTTTTTTATAGATCAAAGCCACATTGGTCTATCTGTTGTACAAACATGCTTAGCCAACAATCTAGTTTGGAACATGGACATTTATCACTTACGTTGTTCCAAACACTGTACTTCTTCTTTTAGCCAGTTTTTTTCCGCTGATCCCATGGCTTCCTTGGTTGGACTTTAAGTGTATTTTGATGTGAGATTCCACTCTATACACACCTGTTTCAGTCTGTACCTGATGTTACCTTTACTACCAAAACCATGCTAAGAATAAATTAAATATTTGTGAAACATAAAATTCTATTTGTTTTCCCCAGTTCTGTAATTATGGAGTTTCATGAAGTATCGATGGTTTCGAGTATTAATTAAATATCCATTTAAATGGTAAAGTAATTTGAAATATGTTTTGGTTGACTGTTTTGTAGTTGTTCAAAAAGTTTACTCTGAATTAGAAATATTAACAGCAAACATAATGGATTAGGTTTAACTTGTCATGATAAATCCCTGTTAGATGAGACTACAAACTGATAGCCTGGCCTTTTTTTTGTTGATCTTTATTTCTGCTCTGTGATACTAGCTTTCTCTTTATATTTGATCTAACCAGGATTAACTTCCTTCATAAAACCAATAATAAGGAATTCTTTTTTTTGTATTTTGTATTTTGATGCATTTTCTAACTGAATTCAGTTTTATTAATGGAGTACCGTAAAGCTTATCTTGATATTTTTCGGGTTCCACTTGCGAACGTGTGAGAAACTTGTCGGTTTAATCATATCGTTTGTTTACTACACTTATGAGCATATTTTGTGAAAGTTCAGGTAATCTCGTAATCAGATGGGCTCTGTAAAAAATACTAATTAGTATGGTAACTTAGTGTTGCTGTAGGTAAAAATAGCATTGAACAATAGCTACAGAACACAAGTTTCGATATTTGCGCATGCTTGGTGAATCTTAAAATCATCCTTTACGAAAGAAACAAACACTGTTTTTGTCTGGAAACATTTAATTACACACAGAAAATAATGATCTTAAAGAAAAGAAAATTCCTTTATCACATATCCTTTGTTCTTAGAGTTCCACGCCACTGTTTTACATACAGGTGAAACTAACCAATAACTAAGGGAATAAACCTCTGAAGTTATAACAGCTATGTACAATAACATCCTTAGAAAAACTTATATGAGAAGTTTTCACAATAAATGGCAGTTAAAAACAAAATCTAGATTTATAAGATACAGATACTTGTTTACCCTAATTAGCTGACTAGAAATATGAAAACAAAAGTTTACTGCCAAAACTTAAGGTAAAACGTAATGGTAATTTCAGACAGCGAATAACAATGTCATTCTTGTAAGATCTAAATTAACCTGTTTGAATGGTATTTTAAACAAATGAAGGGCATCATTCGCTGGAAAAATCAGATGGAATTTGAAGGAGAAATTATGTAAATTAATTAAAGTGGAACCTTTAAATACCAACCCCATGACATGGAAAAACCAAGTCTCCCTCTTGAAATAATAAGTTTAGATATTTTACTACCCTGATAAAGCTATAAACATGAATTAATTCAGAAAAATACCTAAACGTTTGTTGCCTTATCGCTTTCATACGGAAAAGTAGATGTCATTTCTAATGAATATATATCTCGTTAAGCCTTTAAAATGATGCAACATAGTCTAAATGATGTATCGTATCTCACAAACTTTATTTCAAGATTAAAATAGATTATAGTTTAAAGTATCTATCAACATGATTATCGAAAAGATTTTTTTTTAAAGTATGCACACGTAGTTGGTTTAAAATTTCCTTGCAAGAAGGTAAAATGTTGGAAGTTGGAACTTTTAATACCTCTAAGAAGCAATGGAAAAATCTTGAAATTCAAAATTGGAAATTGTTTTATAATTCTGAAATTCTCAGTCTTACACTTCATTGTGCTGAATACTCTAGTTAATAAAACTAATAATTAATTAAGAATATTTGTAGAAAAAAATTCTTACTTTTAAGAATTTAAAAAAAGTGTTATAATTTTACACTTTCTGATTTCTACACATGCTATTGGTAATAAAGTCATACCTAAAGTTTAACAGGGAGTAATTCTTATAATTATTAGCATTAGATATTAAGGTGTTAAGAGTGTTTTAACCTTAAAAACATTTACATTTATTGTACTATTTCTATTTCTAAAGTAGCTTATTAGAGAATCAATAATAAGTTTCATGTTTCTAATTGTAACATTTTTAATTTACTTGCCCTAAATTCAGATCTTTGGCAAAAAAGTTCTATTTGATAAAATTTACATTGAAAAAATGACTGTGGTAAACTAACCAAGCTTACTCATTTTTAAACCTTGAAGGTAATAACTAGCATAATGTAATATTTGTTTTTTTGCAATGCTGAGTTTAAAATTATGTAAGTTTGCATGAAATATACATTACAGCTGCTGGTTGTTTTATGAGCATGTGTTAGCTTTTTTTTTTTAATTTGTTTGTCTTTCCTAACACCCTTAATATTCTTTTAGTGGTTTATTATATATTAAAGAGCAGAATATGTCTATAAAAGTTTGAAACAAGCTGACAAGTGACATTTTAAACTATAAACTTATTATCTCACCGATCAATAATTTAGATGTCATAATTAACAACACTAAAACCAATATACATCTCTGAAAATGACATATTGATGGTACTTGCTTCGATACAAAGTAACAATAATAAACTTACTGAACTTGTCAGTTATTTATTTCTGTACTTTGTTGCAAAATTCTGACACTTGTTTCACCACTAACTTTCTTCGAATGCAAAATTCTCATTAAACACAGAGGAATGACAGAAATAAATGCAAATTGTCGGTTTAAGTACTTGTTGATTGGAATAGAATACTCCCAAACACTTATTAACAAATACACATATAATAATGAATCTGAAAAAACAACAACATACACCTATAGAGTATAGGTAGTTGGTCTTTCTTCATAGCCTTTAATTTGTACGTATTACACCTTTTCTAAGAGTTATGTAGTTTGTCTTGTCTGTGTACTATGTTTAACCATTATCCTGATATTTGACTAGCTAAAATCCAAAGTCTTGGTCATGATGTTTGCATTTATTAAAGTAGAATAGCAGCTTATGGCTTTTCTTTTATTCTAACAGTTATAGTAAGTTTCCAATACAGAGATATGCTGTATTAAAGAATACTGAATACTGTTTCTATGCTCTTAAAAAAAAAGTGTTTTATGGCAGGAGAATTGCACAGCTATATCAATGAGAAGAAGAACTGTAAATATTCAAAGTTACTACATGTAACACTAACAGAAACCAAAACAAAGGACAAAAAAACAAAAACAACTATGTTCAAGATCACTATGAGAAATAGATATTGATAAAGATTGTAAACTTCTGGTCTTCACAAGTAGACTTGAGAACAAACCCAAGACCAATGAAAACAAATCTATAGTTCATTCCTATTTCAAGTTAAAAAATTCATATATATTAAAATATTTTGCTTATACCGACTTGTGTTGAACTGTACACTTTACAAGTAAAGTTACTTTACCGGGAGAGTTTGTTTTTGCAATAACATGACAAAAGTTAAATACCACTTATGTTTGATTAGAAGAATGAATGCTGAAGTTGCTTTTAACTGTAAAGTTTCATCCACTTAAGAGGTTCTCACCCTGTACAATACCTTTATCAGCCACTTAAAAGAGGTTCTCACCCTATATAACATCTGAATCAGTCACTTAGCAAGGTTCTCACCCTATATAACATCTGAATCAGTCACTTAGCAAGGTTCTCACCCTATATAACATCTGAATCAGTCACTTAGCAAGGTTCTCACCCTATATAACATCTGAATCAGTCACTTAGCAAGGTTCTCACCCTATATAACATCTGAATCAGTCACTTAACAAGGTTCTCACCATATATAATATCTGTGTCAGCCACTTAACAAGGTTCTCACCATATATAATATCTGTGTCAGCCACTTAAGAGCTTCCCAATCTATACAGTATCTGTATCAGACATGAAATTCTCTTCTATCATATATCTCTTTTGTTGACAAAAAAAAAAAAATCCAATATAACATAGTTTTTTTTTCTTCTCATTTGGGCAATTTTCTTTCCTGAGAAATTACATTTCACCTACTTTTGAATTTTGTTACTTGGCAGGATTTCTCTATTGTGAGGGCATTAACAACATATTGGTCAAAAGTCATTGTTAAGTAGAAACGTAAATGCTAAGCTAATTCTGTCATATTGATTGTTATCTTACATCGACATGCGAGTTAGTCTTTCTCTTATTGTCTACTTTTTAATTTTCAACTAAAGATTCCTTTATGTCTTAAGTCTGTGTCGGTTCCTGTGAGGGATTCCAGTTTACCTCAAAGTTACATCAAGTAATGTGAGGATTCCCACCTAATTTCAAGTTGTTCTAGCATTCTACAATGCCATATTTTGTTTCACTAATATAAATGGACCATTTTTTCTTCCAATGCATAGTCCAACTGCCATAAAGCTCAGCCAACAAGTTCTTTTTTTGACAGTTTAGTTAACTATCAGTGTTCAAGTTTGGATTTTTCTGAACTACACTGTTCTTGTAGATATTTTCTTCTGGTCAGGACCAGGAGGGTCATCAGCATATAAATGGTCTGAAGTGGAAGATTCAGCAACAGACAGGTCTGAACAAAGAGTTAACATTTCTGATTGAATGGAGAGCCGAGATTCCATCCCTTTCAATCTTTCCATCAAGGAAAGTTCCAGAACTTGGTCTAAGTACAGAAAAGTTTTGTAAACATAAAATGAGATCAGAAATTATCAGGTGTTTAAAAGGTATGCTAGAAAATTTGGAATGAGGCAAATACAAGTATTAGTAGTCAGTCTTTAACAAATGGCAGCAATAAACAGGATGAAGATACTTAGGTATTATAGGATACATTGGGTTTATATTTTTAGTTTCTACTAATAGTGATGAACACTTATAAAGTAAGTATCATTCTTCAGTTTTAATATAATATAATACATTCCATCATATGTTTGTGACTTTTTTTTTAATTTCATATTGTGTTTTCCATTGTTGTTTCAAGAGACCCCAGTTTATATTAAATTCAATGGTTTGTGAAGAGAGGTTGGCCTCTGATTCTGGTACCCATGATGGAGGTTATAAGTTATATAGGTTCTAATAAATACATTATAAATAGTTGTTGACAGATGGCAGCACAAATAAATTAAAATTATAAAACAGCATGGGGACTTAGAAGCACAGTGTTTTATGATAAATAAATAAATTCTTATATAATAAAACGTGTATGAGTATTTACATTGTTGTGATTTGCCTTGGAAACGTGTCATCGAAAAACAACCATGCACTCACGTTTAGTATACTAATCATCCTTTATGCTTTATTTTCTAATGCCACACCCATCATAAATATACTGGATTTCAACTTTTTGATCTTGTAGGCCTAATAGAACTAGAGGAGATATACTTAAACAAAGATAACAACACTCACCCACTGAGCGTGATACTCACGCATCTGGACCTATTCTCGCTCTCATACGCACTAGTACAAAAAATCTCACGTTTTGGTAAAATTAGTAGTTTTCTATAACGGGTAGTTGTCGGTTGATCGGCTGGACTCACCATCACATTAAGCCTCGTCCTTAGAAGCCACCGCCTTCGGCTTTCACAGCATTTACCGCGCGATAATATTTTTATTTAAAAAGTCTAACTCAAAGAGATTTCTTGACAGCCCTGCTTAATTGATCACTTACATTTTGCATAATTATTTAGTTTGTGTTACCATGTTCTTGAAATGTGTTTATGTTTATCTTCAACCAATTTCATGTATAAAAATCTCAACACGAACATGTGATCTTGATTATTGCGGATGCACATACTTCCGTCCAACTTCTTCAGCATTTCTGCGTGATAACGTTACCAAGTTACGTTACTCAGCATTGTTGCATTTTTCATGTTTATTGTTTTCCACATATTATTTCATTGCATCAGTGTTTATTATTGGTCATAACCCACAAAAACGTACTTTCATTTTGTTGAACAAGTTTTCCGACTTTATAAACTACAGAAACAAAGTAATTATTTTTTTTTCATTTATAAATCATATATTCAACAATAATTTTCTACTATGAAGTTTTCTTGCTAGTAGGGCTCTAAAAATAATAATAATATGTTTTGTAATGGCCATTTAAATTAGAACATATATATCTAAAGTACATGTTTAATCTGTGTGTTTAAAGCTGGCTTAACATAATAGGTAATACGAAAAGCGCCATCTTACGACATGGGCACTACCTACCGTCTACGTTAAAGTTGTCGGTTGTTAATGTGCTTATAATCCTTTTGTAGTACTCGAAAGTCACTGAGTTGGAGATGACACGGCCTTCACACGCCACCTGGAGATTCACCACTGCTGCGTCGTGTGCTTATAATTTTCCGAATAAATAAATAAATATTTCAATCAGACCTACCAAACTCTTTCAAAATTATCAATATAATAATTTTACATAAAAATTTCAAACATTTAGGTCCATAAAGCTAAGTTCTAATACACTGAATTATATTAAAGATTTTAATTAAAATACTATGGAAAAAATATATAAATATGTTTATGACTTTAGTACAAATTCTTACATAACAAGATAAGATACACTGAACAAAGTGATCTAGGCTGTTCACAAACTTAGGTTGGAAATGAACTCGGATTGCACTCATACTTATATCTCGGTTACTGTTATATAAAAGGACTAACTGGAAGGTAGAATATGTTTTATTTCTTACTCAACCTTTCTAAGGTCTTTTGTGTTTAGGCTAAAACTCGCTGGAAAGAAACTTTGCCAGGTAGAACCTATTTCGTCTTTTACATTTTTTCTCTCTCTCTCTTCTTTGCATGGTAACATAAATTTCAGTATCTGTACTTATTCTTTTTTTGAAATTTTGAATTATTACCTAAATGCTGGATGAGTCCAAGCAGGACTTTATAAACGTAGCGGTTGTTAAAGCAGGCACATTCAGTTCCTAAAATCAAAGAAGAGAAAGGTGATGATAGAAATATTTTATGTGAAGTAATTTAGTCACTGGACCGTCCGCCAGGTTAGCCAAGTTTTAGATTCAAATCTCGTTTGGTCTCGGTTTTCACACGAGTATTTAATGCGTATTTCTTAACCACCTATACCTATACGAGGTTTCTATATTCAATAATTGTTTGTTGTGATAATGAACTAAGGTTAAGAGATTCATAAAAGCTATGCCTCTGATAATGCCCCCCCCCCAGTGGCAAGTCTGTAGGGTTATAATACCCGTGGTGGGCAGGACAAAAACCTCATCCCGCTAAACATGCTTGCCCTTTCAGCCGTGGGGGGCGTTATATAGTGACGGTCAATCCCACTATTCGTTGGTAAAAGAGTAGCCCAAGAGTTGGCGGTGGGCGGTGATGACTAGCTGCCTTCCCTCTAGTCTTACACTGCTAAATTAGGGACGGCTGGCGCAGATAGCCCTCGTGTAGCTTTGCGCGAAATTCAAAACAAACAAACAAAAACCAAACCAGCCTCTGCTAACAAACCGCAATATATGTCTCAAAATTTTTATCCATAATAAAATTAGAACTCACCTGGACAAAAACATCGAAGAACTCCATTTTGAACAAGAGTAGTTGGCACGTTAACGCCATCGAACAAGGCAGTGTAGAGGGAGCTAGAAGAATCCCATGGTCCCGATATGAGAACCTTGATTCCACCCTGAAAAAATTAAAGATTTAAAATATTATATCGCCCAAATTCTTAACATTTCAAACTGTCACGTAAGAGTAAATTTAATTAAGTTTTCAGTAATTAGCAACGTTGCTAATTTTAGTTATGAAATATATATATAAGAAACTATATGTTCGTCATCAATATATATATATATTATTTTTTTTTTTTTTTCTGTGTTTAGTTGAAACACGCACTCTTTCATTCTTACTATTTTGTCCAATAACAACAAATAAAATATGTACTTAGCCATCTGTTACAACATTATAATTATTTCCTAACAAAATTTCGTGTTTCGTTCATGAGTTCAGTTAACAATGAACTTTGTTACAACAATGAAATCTGTAAAACTACTATTCAGTGAGGATTTGAAAAACTAGTTTAGCAATGATCTTAAAATCTAATATTATTCAAATAGCCGAAATTATTATTGGCATAAAACACCAATTTGGTTATAGATAGTTTTCATTTAGTAAAACTTTACTTTGTAAACATTAAAATACTAAACACATTTCGAATGTTATAAACAACTCGAAATGGTGTATTTAAGTGTTTTACACTCACAAAAAGAAACCTATTATTCT